GCAAGTTCACATCCACACCAGCAGAGGGAGCCCTCCTGTGTACAAACAGAAAACCAGGCTCTGCCAAACATCAGGTAAAAAACACAGATTGTGTCTTTTTTTTGACTGTTTGGAAAAACTGATAAAGGGTAAATACTTGAGCAAATTTCTTTTTCTTTTTTAAACAAAGTTAACAGAAGCTACTCCATCTTCGACATTTTTAAGCAGATAAAAACTGATCACAAATTTTAGTGGCTCCTAAAGGAACAAGAGTAATGATTACATTATACAATCATAGATGAGAAGGTCTTTCACACCTTTTCTGTATCAAAATGATCTTTTCTATTGTTCTTGGAAAATTATGACCTAACCTTTCCTCTTTATCTCCAAAGCGATGAGTTTACAGCTCTTGTTATTGTTCTCTGATTATTAGTTTGCAGAGATGGAGAGAAAGATGAATGATTTTCAGAAATTTAGTGCAGTTTTTCAGAGCTAACTGTTCACTTACATATTTGTATTTTAGGATATTTTTGACAATAGTACAGGCCAAAATTTTACTCTAACATACATGTAATCTATTCATGAAACATGGTCATTATAAATGACGTTAAAGCTCCTGTGAGGACCTTCGGATTTGTGTCGATTTTTGCGCCCTCTGTGAACAAAACAATCTTTACTGTTTTGTTGTTTAAGAGTAAAACTCGTTTCTTGATTAAAAATGAATTGTATCCTGCTGTCTTTGAAGAGTTAGATGTATGAGGAATGGAAAAATTATGTATCAACAATGAGCCACTCCTCACTTGGTCGGAGACTAACCCCCCCAAAAATGTTTTCCAACGTTAAGAAACTTTAAAGAAATAGTCACTTTTCTTAGTTTGCTATTTTAGTTTATAAACAGACATTATGATCGATTTCAGTCTTTTTCACAGGCTGAAAACCCCTTAACTTCTGACTACTTTAAAGCTTCTGTATGGATGTTTTGGCGTTTTTATTGTGAATATTTTATGTGGAAATTGTAAAAACAGGACATTTCCTTCATGTGCGTAGCTGTGACCTACCTCTTCACACCAGTTGTAGTAATTAAAACAGTATAAAATTCTCCAATTTTATCGCTGACAATCTTTTTTGCTTCTGGTTTTTATTTTTTTAAAAACAAAACAGGTATCAACATGAATTTCAGTGTTTTTATTCAAGGTCAGAAAAACTCCTCACAGGAACTTAAGTTACTTCAAATTAACTCAACAATATCCATGACCCAGCACCATAACATTACACTGACAGAGCTGCTGGTATCCAGCATTAGCACGGTACATTTACCTGCTTTCTTATTTACTTAACTTATTGAAGGCATGACTTTGGCTTACAAAAGTTTTTCTTTTCTTTTTTATTTTTTTATGATCATATGAAGTCTAGTCTCAAATGCCACCTGATAACAATCTAAATGAATATATCCAAGATGTGCTTGTTTGAGTGTTGTACATGTTTTTGTCATTTTAATGTCCTTCCATATTGTCTAAACACACTGCTAAGTTAAACATAATAGTCATTCAGTTTTGCTTACACTTGTTACAGAGCTAAAGCGGAAGAAAAATCGCCTGATACTGCTCATATAAGAGTTTTTAATTAGTTACTTTAGAGGTATGAATATAAATAAATAAATGTAGGTAACTGAGTCCTTAGTCGTAGATGATGAACCTTACTGTCCTATCAGTGCGAGCCACAACAAAGCAGCCGTGTGCAAACGTCCCTGCAGTTTTCTGAATGAGAGCCATGCTGCCTGTTTACATTTCCTGCCACTTGCAGCTACTTACTGCTTATTACTCCTCCTCACAGTGTGGTTACCAAAACACAGAGTAACCCGGGGAGTTCTGCTCCACATCACTGTGATAGGCTCACACTGACTCACTTTGTTGGAGGATTGGCACACTGTTTTATTTATTTTCCATTTTTCCCAGGCCCCGTATGCAGGTCAGCTGTAGGCTGTTTTTAAGGACAAAAGACAACAGTGCGGTATAAGAGAAAAAAGCATGAAGGACAAAGAGAGAGAAAAATCCTACAATACAGTGTGTGATGTAGCACTTGTGTATTGGCTCTGGGTGGAGTGAGTATTTTGTGAAAGAACAAGGGGCAGGGTGTGTGAAAATATCCAGACGTGTCAGTGGTTTGTGCTTTCCCCTTTTCCAGTTGTGTTTTCATTGCTTGCGGTGATTCGGGCTTAATACCACAAGGTCACATCCAGCCTGAAGACAATGCAGCATAACTTCATCGTTTGTTTCCACAGAGCCACAGAGCGCAGTTACACTGAGAAAAAGTGTTTTACATGACTCTTCAGAATACGTTTCTGCAGCTCAAACTGAAAAAAATAACTCTTTTCAAAATGATCCATCGAGCTCCTTATATAGCCTGTTTATTGTTCTGTGCAGGATTTTTGAGTAAAGGTTAGCTGGTTTCTGCTCTGACCCCAGATGCAAAAGTCAGGGTGAAGAGGTATTTGCAGTGGCCACTAGATGGTATGATGTATGCATGTTGCAGGTCTGCACAGGGTGAAAGGAGCAGCACTAAGGTTAGACACATGTACAGACTATTAATTTATTCCTGTATGATGAGATCAGACACACCACTTCTTCAAGAGTCTATTCATCTAAACAGCATCTTAGAGCGTGAATATACATTGTTGTACTTAGAGCAAAGAATTTTTTTGACTTTACGGGTTTTGAAAAAAAGTTTTTAAAAATATTTCATTTGTTTCTTCAGATCAGCAGCGCGGGCTCAGTCTGTGAACGTGCTGATAGACGCTTCACGTGCAAAGTACCGAGAAAAAAAAACAAAGTTGAAGTTTATTGCGAAACCAAAAACAAAGAAACATACAATAAAATGTCGTTTTTTATTTTTTTCTTCATGTGATCTGATGAAAACGTCAATATCTCACTTCGGTTAATCGATAACGGAGCTTTACTTGATAACCGACTTTTTTCTCGTTATTTTGAGGTTGAATTTTTTGTTTGTTTATTTGCTTGTTTGTTTGATTTTTACACAGCGAGCGGGGACTTGGTATTATTATTATTATTATTATTATTATTATTATTATTATTATTATTATTATTAAGTGTCTCCATAGATGATAATTGTTCTGCTCCGTTTAATTTTATTTATCAGCTTCATTTCTTTCTGCAAAAGACATCAGACCGAGTTATTTATCAACATCATTAAGAAATATAAACAGAGAAATACTTTATTTTTGAGTCGGGTGACTTTGGGGAAGTTACTAAAATTTATTGATGAATTTAATAGAAAGAGTCACAATTTAATACATTAGAAAAAATACTTAAAGTTAGTGAACATGATGTGATACAGAAATAAATATAATCAAATTAAAAAAATCTATCAGTGAAGGTTATCATAGATGTCTCAGCCTTGACCTCAATGCCAAATATATCTACAATCACGCATTGAAGTGAGTAAACACTTATCGTGTCTATTATTTATCATTATGATAATCTGAAATTAGATTTATTTTTATTATGAATAAATAGAAGAACGACGGGAGGATTAAACGGCCGAGGTCACGGCCCGGTTCTGCAAGACACAACAGTCCACTTCAATGCTGAGAAAGAGCTCCACACTTTATGTTCAATAAAGATAATAAACTAAATAAACATCTGGATGAACTTCTGTTTAGAGCTTTACGAAGATGAAAGATAAGGTAGCTTTAATAGAACAAAATAGACAAAGATGTCCGCCTATATTTGCTGTAAGGACAGAACATGTTTTAGAATAAATCCTCCTAGAGGATCAACTTTAACGACTCCATTATTTCGCTCACAGCTCGAGGTCATTTCAGTTCTAACACAATCTGCGTACATCAGGATTTTTCAGAAACAGACGTCAGTGTCTCAAGACAATTTTACAAGCTGAATTTGTTTTAAAGTGCAACCTTTTTTTAATCACAAATCCCATCATTAAATGACATACCTACCTCTCAACCCTCAAGAGAAAGAGAGAAATCACGTCTTCAGGTTAAACTCGTGATCGTTTGGTTTACTCACCTGCTGAGGCCTACCTGCTCATGGCGACTCGTTATGCAGACTGCAAAAAAATTGGGAAAATTGATCAAATTCTTGAGTAAAGTGCAAAAAGAATCAATAAAAAGTGACACAAGTGGCTCGGTGCCATCAGTGCAACCAAACAGACACATCAGTTAAATTACGCACCGGCCTACCCGCTGAAGTGTTGGGGCGTTTAAAGGGTTAAGTTGTAAAAGGATGGCATGTCTTACAAATTATTGTTCTTGTGCTGCATTCAAGTCTCGGAGGGAAAGTTGGACACACGCCTTTCCTATTTCTTTTTAACAACAAAATAATATATCTCTCTTTTTACGCACGGGATCTTGCGTTAACTTGCTGCACGAACTTTGAAAATTGCCAAAATAAAACAAACTACTCCATCACGAGATTACACCCAATTACTCCATCAAAATAAAGGACTAATCTCACCAGGCACATGACACAGTCTGCTCCCCTCACGTTGGATAAAGTTGAAATATTTCTGGGGTTGCATCTTGCATGTCAGTCCTGTCTCCTGTTAAAAAAAAAAAAACTTCCACCAAACTTTTCTTGAACTTTTTCCCACTCGACTGAAAGCAGCATGACGTCGTGTACAGTGACCAATCGCGAAACGGCTTTCCTGCTCGCGGGGGCCAATAGGAGGAGACGAGGGGTGCCTGTCAGTCACAGGTGAGGGTGGATGGTTAAAAAATTGGGTGAAAAGGGCCGGAGTGCTGAGAGAGCCCGTGCTGACGGCAGAGCTATGCGGAGGAGAAGCATCGTGCTTGCGGATGTAGCAGGAACTTTCCACGGCTTCTCCCGCGGGGATGTGAGCAAGAACTAGCATCTGAGGGGAAACAAGCTGCGCTCAAAGGAGGGAGACGTTTAAAATGTGGATGAAGTGATATTTACTCCTCTGTCCGGGCTGGCTATTTACTCAAGTTAAAGAACCGAGCGCGTAGTTGTCTCCTGTGAAAAATGGCTGTTCGTGGAAACTCGCTGATGCCTTTCTCAATCCAAGCCATCCTGAACAAAAAGGACGACAGCAGACACTTACCAGATTTGGACATGTGCTTCTCTAAGACGGCGTGCTGGAAAATATTTGGGGAGATGAACGGAGGGTCACGGAGAGCTGGTGGGGAGGCTTGTGAACCCACGGAGCAGAAAGGCTACGACTCGGACTCGGGACTGAGCGATGACAACGACAGCAAGACTCCAGCTGCGTGCAAGTCGGAGAAGGACGGGGATCCTGCGTCGGATGTGTTGGAGGAAAGTTTGCAGGAGGAGACGGATCATGAATCTGCAGCCGCGGAGAATGCAAAGAGTGACAGTGAGCCCAATAACGCCACGGGTGAGTAGAACTGAGCGATAACTGCGCATATAGACAGGAATAGAAAGCTGTTCTCTTTTCTGAGTTGAAACCTTAGAAACAAACTAAAGAGCTTAATGCATCTTTCATAATGTGGTTTAAAGACTCTGGAGTAATACCACTAAATTTTAACTAAAGCTCTGAGTGTGATAGTGCAGGATATTAGGCCTGTTAGGGGGCTAACTTGCATCCTGATGACTTTTACGCACGGATATTGTTTTACGCATGATTGTTTATCAATATATTAGCACTATGGCACACATTTTCACGGATTTGTTGAAGTTTCCATGGCGTTAGGATTATATATTGTAGATAATATATATTGCATAATAATATTTATGAACTTCTGTTAACCTGAAGCATGTTTTAAAAGGGAAAAAAAACTAAAAAATCTTCCCCAAAATTGTCTTGTTTACACCTGAAATAATACATCTGATCTATTCTTTCTAGATTCAACATCCAGCAATTTATTTCTCATGATTTGTTGCAACCAGAAATTTGAACACCCTTCTTTACAACTGAGCTTTTCTTTTTTAAACCCCCTTTTACTCCCATTTAAATGTTTGATAAAGATACGCACCAAACGCACCCATTACCACGTGATTCCAGCTGCGTTAAAATAACAAACAAGTACAGGAATTTACTTGCATGTTACATCTGTGTGTCTCTCTTTCACAGACTCCAGCACCCTGGACGAGAAGAGTCTGGACCAGCCCAAACAGCGGAAGAAGCGCTCCAGGGCCGCTTTCTCTCACGCGCAGGTCTTTGAGTTGGAGCGCCGGTTCAACCACCAGCGGTACCTGTCCGGGCCGGAGCGCGCGGACCTCGCGGCCTCCCTGAAGCTCACAGAGACTCAGGTTAAGATTTGGTTCCAGAATCGCAGGTACAAGACGAAACGCCGTCAGATGGCCGCCGATCTCATGGCTTCCACTCCGGCTGCGAAGAAGGTGGCGGTGAAAGTTTTGGTGCGGGACGACCAGAGACAGTATGGCCCGGGTGAGATCCTGCGGCCCCCGCTGCTCTCCCTACAGCCGTCCTACTATTACCCGTACGCGTACTGCCTCCCTGCATGGACACTCTCTGCGTGTGCAGGGAACCCCTGAGAGCTGGTGACTGTATTTATTCTTTTTTTATTATTATTTTGCTCCCAGGAAATCAAACTTCATATTTTTTTCTGACAAGAGGAGGAGCGTCTGTGGCTGAACTGCCTCACCCTGATTTCCACGCAAGACCAGGGCTTTTCTGAACTGCATATATACACCCAGAATACTAAAGAAATGACTCTTAGAGCTTTTCCAGAGGAGCCCTGTTTAAGAAGTTGTTTCTCACGATTCAGGCAATAAAATCTAAGTGTAGGTGAGCAGGACTGGACTTTCTCATAAAATGTCAGTATGTTAACCTCCAAGGAGGGGCTCAGAAACCACACTCAAGTATTCCCCTCTTTGCTTGGGAGACCTCTGAAGCCCCCCGGACCCTTCTTTGGTCCAAATAGACTAAACATGTCACCTTATGTTGGTTTCTATTTTACATGCGCCTTCCTACCTCTGCAGTGATTGGATATAGGCATATTCCATTGACTTTTCATACAACTGTTTCTGTTGCAGGTTGTGTTTTGTTATTTTTTTTTCTTGCTGTGTTTTTAAAAGGTAAGATATTTTGGCACTTTTAAACATATACGTTATATTATTATAATTTCAAGGTTAAAACGCATAAAGGTGTGTGTGGACATGTTACAGAGTCAGACTGAGAGGAGGTGTTTTTTTTTAAAGTGATCGTTTGGCAGGAAGCAAAACACACAAACTGAAATGTACATGTGTTGCTGTGTTAAACGACTGTTTAGACATTAAAACATATCAAGCATAACTTATTTTGATGCTATTTTTTAAAATACTTTTTCTAGTGCGTGTATTATGGTCTGACTTTACAGCACAAGGATCAGAATGAACAATTTTACCTCCAAATGATGCATTTGAAATCTTTATTATTTAACAACTCGGTGAATTACAAATACACCCGGAAATATCCATTGCATCTTCATCCATAAAAATACTTTATCTTTGGAGCTTTAGTTCATCTCAACATGTTTACTCAGATGAAATGAAATGAAATAAAACTAATCATTATGAAACTGAAATATCCGGTAAAACCTCAAGTTGCCATTTTTTGTCTCTGGCACTGTGAAATTTTTCCCCTCTAAATTTAATAAGCAGTATCAGCCTCCACAATATTCTTGGATGATAACACAAAACAAGATCAATTTCATGAGCATTCTTGCAGTTCACAACCAAACTTCTTCTTTTACTTAAACTTTGGTTTCCATTTGGACCTAAACTTTTCATGATGTCCAAGCTTTGCACTTTGCAGATTTCATCCGGGCCACTATGTCTGTCTTCCCAAACACACCTGTCAAGCAGTGATGAATAGCTCTGTGAGTCCCGGACAGGGCAAACTGACAGCTACCTTTAGGGCTGCATGTCAACACAAGGAGAGGAGGATTCCGGGGTTAAGAAGGCCCATGTCACTGCGCAAGAAGAAGGGTGGAAGACGGGTGTTCAGTTTGGGCTCTTGGTAGAAAATTTCGTGATTTTCTCAATCAGAAAACGACACATTTCTAATTCAGGCTTAATGCTGGGAATGAAGAATTGACGGGAGGACGTGTAGGTGCTCTTCTGAAACACCCTCGATGTTAAGTCAGGGTCAGAAGGGAGCTGCCGTGCATCAGTCATCCATGCACACAAGCATCACACCCGTATGTAGCTTCTGGGATGGCAGCTGTGTGTGTCTGACAACTGAGACTGACTGATGAGGCAAAAGATGGCTGCTTGTGAAACACAGATGTCGTTTTTCTTCGCTGATGCCCGGACATTGAAAGCAGCACGATTCATTTTCACGGGGATGCAATCGCAACACCTGTACTGCGCTTTTACGCACACGCTTTTTATGACGCAAACCTTCATACGGACATGCAACAAACACCCAGGTATACACAGGGGCTTGCCACATCTTCTTTAACCCTATATGGTGAGAACAGAAGGCGCCTATATGTTCTAATATCTGATCTCCTCGATGCAGGTATAGACGCCACCGGAGGCCATCTCTCGCGGCACTGATGCTCCTCATTGGCTGCTCGGAGGCTGTGAAAGGACAGAGAGGGATATCGAGGAGTGGACCGTCCCACATAACTTCCTTTCATACCTGCATGTGGAGATATCTGATATATAGAGGGACATATCGCGGCTGTTTTTCCTCTCAGCCCGCGAAATGCAAACACCCCCATAGCTTTGACTTCACCGCAGCCCAGCGTCTCACCAAAAAATTTGACTTAATATAGTTATTTTGACACTGATATAGCCGGAGTTCAGCGCGTGAAAAATATGCTTATGCTGTGAATATAAACCTCATCTTAGCTCTATTCCAAGAGTAAAGGAAGGACTTAAACGCCCAGGGATGGGGTTGTTTTTTTTAATTTTTTTCAAAATTGCTTTCTTCCAGACCAACGTCATCAATTACGCACGTAATGAAACTGTACGCACAAGTTACCGTTGGTAACTTTTTCCAGAAAAAACTCCTTTTTCATTTTTACGCAAAACATTTCTGCAAATGGCACAAAGCGCCGGATGTGGGAATGTTGATTTAAAGTCTAAACAGTCTGGGGTTAGGCCCAGGATGTCCCGAGAGAAGTTTTGCGGCTTCACCTGTCTTTCTTTTCTGCTCGATTCAACCCAACAACATCTCACCTTCGTCAAACAGTTCACCCACTCGCTGCTCGGTATTGGTCTGATTATTTATGTTTCATTTGTGAAATCTCATCATAAGATATTGATTAAATAAAGTTGTCTTTTTTTTTTTTTAGCTATTATTTGTATTTCGAGGCCAGTTTTATTCTAGGTAAGGCAGCAGGCGGCCATTTACAGTCATGGTGAAGAATAATCCCTGCTTCCATAAAAAAAAACGCGCGTACTTGTGTTTTTAATTTTCATTTATTTATACTCTTTAGGAAGAAACTTTTGAACAAATGCGACTTTTTGAAGATTTACTGAGCTTTTAAATGCTCTGGTGTCTCCTGTAAATGTGACCCTATAGCTAACGAGGTTATCAGCAAAATAACGTATCCTTGCGCAGACATTAAACCTGAATCGTGTTTCATGTAATCGACCAGGAGTCAGCCCAAAGTTCCCGAGTGTCTATAATTATTAAACTAATAAATAAAAACACTTATAGTACTGGTTTATCTTTAATCATATAACCTCTTAATATCGAGGAACATACTGATGGATGAAAATAAATTTAGGCTGCGATAAAATAATTTTCTAAACTAAATTTCTTGCATCAACTTCATCATGAAATTGAGGTCACCCGTGTCAAGAAAACAGTGATTTCTCTTTTGTTGTCTAAGATTACATAATGACCTAATAACAGTTAAGCATAACGTTTATGTGTGTTTAATATTTATGTGTAATAAGTCCTCAAATACAGCAGACTTTTTAGGGGTGTTTTATTATTTTTTTTAAAAAAAGGAAAAATTACAAATAACTTAATATTTGTAGTAGATACCTGAATTTCCACCTGTATTCTGCCTTATTATAGAGAATACATGTGAAATTTGTCATCTGCTTTAAGGTGCTTTGTGTGTAGAGGAATAATAAAAGAGGAATAAAAGAGGAATAATAATCTACCATAATATCTTAAAAAAATGTTTTTTTTTACATGGCATCGTTTCACATTTTTATCATTTAAGTGATTGCAGCCACCCTCTGAAGAAGTAGACTGTTTTCTACACTTTCCCAAATTTGGTGCATGTTCGTATAACAAATACTTCATCTAGAATATTTTATACTAATTGTGCTTTTTTCCTTTGGGTTTAGTTTTAAGTTATGGCAGATTTTTGTCCTTCAGGTGATAGTGAATGTATAAAACAAACAAATGAAAAAAAAAAAAAGAAATTTCCTCTCCATCCACAGAAACAACAAGCTTTCCTTTGCTTTGAGCTTTCTGTCTATTTGGGAAACCGTCGATTTCATCATGAGTGTTTTATATCAGGATAACTTCTCGGGCAGTTGCTTTCTTCTGCTTCAAAGTGATCCAGGTGCAAATACCTCCTCATACCTCAGGACATCCTTCTCCTGCAGTAAAGTGTGAAAAATGAGGACCACAATTTATGCATGTGAGAAATGATCAAATAGACTCATTACCCAATGTGTCTCATGGTAGGATGGACTTGAGTGTGCTTTTTTTTCATTTCTGTGCATTGTTCTTGATGACATTTTTTTCAGCACACTCCAGTTCAAACTATTTGCAAAAGTTGCAAAGCTAAAGGAATTTTTTTTTTTATATAGAACTGCATTTTTAGCCGCATATTTTTTTAAAACCTCTATTCTTGCAATCAATCCCCTCTGTATCTTTTATGAGGTTCATTTTTCTTGTGATTTACAACAGATTATTTCACTTTTTCCTCAGTAGTTTGTGGACATTAAGTTTCATTGCAGCCCTTGAACCTTTCACCTTAAAACATGTGCAAAGCTTAAAATAATCGGAGTGTTTTACGCAGAAATGTTTGACCTTGAATCATGTTTCTGTAACTCTGTTTTCTCCAGTAACGCTGCATTTTTATCCAGCATTTAATCCTGAACAGACTGATGCTAGTTTACAAATACACCAGAGAAAAGCTTCGCAAATTGCTTTGAAATGATCCATTTTGCTGCCTTTTCCAAGTCTGTAATATTAATGATGATAATAATAGTCATACGTCATTTGGTAAATACATTACTGTGTCATAAAGCAGTCAAATTACACAGCTGGTAAATATATTTCTCTAAACTGGAAACTGTAAAGCCTTGAATTTAGCAGTGGAAAAACAGAAATAGTGCTGTCTATCAAACATGGTGCCAGAACAGAAAAGCACAGTAGTCTTAAAAAAGCTCATTAATACTGTAAAGTGTGCGGCAGTAAAAGGACTAAAACATTCATAGATTTTAAGTGTGCATTGGTCCCTTTTTATGCTCTTTGATAGCAGAGCCCTATATATTATTACTATATATCATATTTTTGATCAGTCATAATCAGATAAGACATGATTTGTATGAGCTGAGGGGAAAAGACAGCCCATCAGATGACAACTTGGAGACTGTTGAGTGCACATAACAAATCTTTATTATTTGGATATCTACTAAAATCAACATTAGATTTTCAGCCATGTGTTATAAACAGCGTCACTATAATATTTGAGTGAAATTAGACCTAAATGTAAATATTTGTTACTGAAAGTCTTTGCTGTAAAATCTTATTCAATTCTAAGGAAGTGAACATTCAAGAGCATGCACTGAACATATTACAGGCCCATGCATGAGGTTTGATTTGAGAGGCTCATTGGCAAAAAGGTGTGTGTGAAGAGAAAAGGAGGAAGATTAATGGGAGCAGAGGCAGGTTTAAGGCTCAATCATCCAAAACCAAATAAAAATGTTAATAAAAGTCGCCTCTAATAAGACACACACCAACAAGCTATGACATCTGACACAAATATTCAGTTTTTCTCGACATGACCAGACAGGTGAGTCTTGTATTTATCTTTATTGCCGGAGGTGTAGTGGGTTGGATTTAAAGGTGACCCTTATATTTTGTTTAGTCCACTTACACAATCATGGGGTGATCAAATTATTAACAATACCTTTCAGTGTGCACACCACCAACACCAAGTAGCTACAGCTTAACCAATTTGACAATTTTTACCTGTCTGACCATGTCAACAAACCTTAAAAAGAAGGGCTTTATGAATGTAGAATTGATGCTGGAGTTGATGTATTGGGTTGCATTAGATCATCCAAATGTTCATAAGTTATGACAGATTGATGTAGATGTAGGCCTATATGTGTTACCTCCAAAAGTAGAAAAACTACTCCAGTAGGCCTACATGAACTGAATAATAGTCTACTCCTAGATAAAAGTCATTGACTGTTGCATGATAGTTGGTATTGCATGTAGTTGGAGTGGAATATTGCTCCACTAGAATTTCTAAAAATACAAATATTATTTTAAAATCATGACTTTTATATAAGTCATAATTAAGGTGATGATTTTCGAGATTAAATTAAAAAGTTGGCTACGGTTGCTATTGCACTTGTTAGTGTGAAAATTCATTACAGCCCAGGAACAAAAATGCAAAACTAAAAGCAGTCAAAAAAGCCCTAAAGTGCCACATTTCGGTGAATATTTAAAGGATGTAGCTAATTAAGGATTACCTAGTTTGTTTAGGTCATTTTAGGCCAAATGGGTTTAAGCAATTTTACATTCACGCTTTGACCTTTGTTGCCATGGTTACCACTACGCGTCACACGGGACGCAACCACTGCGTTGGTGACTGGGTTTCCGGTCCTGATATTTTCTCATCCAGGCAAAAGGGGTCCCGTGATAGAAAAATGGAAATAGTTAAACTCTGTTATATCAAGTAGTATCACTGAGCTCATTTTTTTCCTGGTCTTTTTTCACTCGAGCTGAAATTCGGTGTAGGTGTCTGCGGTTGAGAGAGAGAGAGAGAGAGAGTGGAGCATGCCGAGCGGAGCAGAGCAACAGTGTTAGTAGAGTCAAAATGGCGTCTGCTTGCCCACTTCACTGCCGTCTAATCCATCTGTGATTAGCCTCAACTTTAGCTACCTGTGCCTGCTTTATTGTGTTTATTTTTTTTTCACCCCGCACTGGTTTTGTCGGAGCACATTGCAGCGTCATGTCGGACTCGGAGGAGGACAGCCAGGACAGGCAGCTTAAAATCGTAGTTATTGGAGACGGTGCGTGTGGGAAGGTGAGACCATCACAGATACTCACAACTTACACACACTCCACTTAAGTGAAGTCAATAGACACTTTGGCGTAACTTCAAATCACTGACAGTGTCTTATTATCCATTTCACACCGTGTTAAGTCGGTATTCTGTTGTTTTCGCTGCTCATCTGGACGCTGCGCCGTCTCCTGTCTCCATGGAGACCGACGCTAATATCGCTAGCTAAATCGGCTAGCAGCTAACACCATCAATGGCTAGCAGAGCAAGACCACATAATGGGATATAAGAAGCGCCATAGTGGTCATGAAGGATTAACCGAAGTAATACTGATAGACACTGATAGCTTTTATACTCTTAAGTATTACTCGAAGACGTACTCGATGACTCTATAGTCACTAGTATGCGTTAGTATTTCTAATTTGAGCCACCAGGTACATCTACAGCACTACATGCCACAGTCATAAAGTTGACCTCAAGATATTTTAACGTTTTGTACAATAAAGTGACCTGTTATATTAATTGTTCTGTAATGCATTATCTACTGTAATGCTGTAGGTCCAAGACAGCTTTTAGGGATCATAAACTAATCAAACTAAACACAACTCAACTCAACAAAATCAGGAAGAGTGACTGTCACTGCAATATTAAAAAGCACAACATACAGTCATACAGTTGAGCTTTGAATAAAACCAAGTCTCAAGGCTATAGAGTTAGAACCAAGATCCCTATAGACACTTTAGCGAAATTCATATAGGCCTATTTACAGTCATTACCAGCCCAGGTATTGCCAAATGCAGCAGAATTTAATCATTACACTTTCCTCAAATTAGCCCCTGTGTATAATGAGTACATCACTGCAACAAGTCAAATCTTGAGTGCCTTTAAACGTCTCTTTTTTTCTTTCACTTGTGGTGATGCTTGTCAAACACACTAACACTGTGTTATATGTATTTCCTGAAATGAGTATTTGTGGTAATACTCTGTAAATGATTAAAACTGTAACTCTAATGTACTAAGCTTAAAAAACAACACTTTTTATGAGCTAGGTAGATACAAACATTTTAAAGAGCTTCCAAGATTATCTACCATTTCTGTAGTTTAACATATAGGATGTTTATTCTTGGCTGTAATCCACAGAGGTAATCCACAGACATTGTGGTAAGAGAAATTTCATTTTAGGAAATCTGGTGTGTATTGGGTTCATCATATTTAAGCTTAAATTGAAAGCCACAGCTCACTTAAAGCAAATACTGAGAACTAAACCTGGCTGCTCTTTACTGAAATGAAAAGTACTTATTTAAAGAAAAAAAAGTCTTTAAAAGTTGCACTCATACAAGATAAAACCGAGATCTGTAGGTTGACTTCTTTTTTCAAAATAATGTGACATGTTTTAAATCTATCTTAAATCTGTTGTTCTAAACCTACTGGGTCTACAAATACTATGCAGGTTTTATGTACCTTTGGATATAGTCATCAATAGCATTTACAGACATGGGCAAAGCTGTAAATTCACAAGCTGTCATACTGATTAATTATATTTAGCTCCAGGCCCACATTTTACTGTATCTACTAACAGTCGATCTGGTTCGATCAACCAATATCATTACCAGTGTTGCTTTAAAGCTTCCATAATAACAAATAAACAGATAGTAAATTATGAGAACACATGACTTAATACCAAATGTTTACTCTTAGACAGTTTTAAAAAATTATCCTTGTGAATCGTTTGTAACAGGTTACATTGCTAATTTACTATTTTCTGCTCATGCTGCTGTTTTTTGAGTCTGCTGCTACATGCTCAGCGATCTGGCATGTAAAACCCTGCACTATAGAGTATGACACTAAGTGTGATAGTTGCTCAACCTGGCTCTTTCAGCTGCTGGTTGTTTTTCATCAGTACACCTCTTTTCTCTTTGCCAAGGACCCCTGTATGCATTTGGCTCCAGAGTGAGGCCCCACTGGAGAAAATTATGTCCTGACCGCCCATTTGGGAAATGTTTCTGGGGTTATTTTTCCACTTGATTAAAAAAAATCACTGCAGAAACAAAGCTTGTGTCAAAATTTTTATTGAGTGGAATCTGAACAGTGAACAAATGTCTGTTTATTCAGTTCATTGTATCTGTCTTTGCAGGATCCATTTAGTACAACTCATAATCTGTTCTCGTTTTAGACAACTGGACTAAATCAATCAGATTGTTTGTTAAAGGAATTTCAAAGACATGGATTAAAAAGTCAAATTTTCCCAGTCAACAGTAAAGTCATTTGCAACAAAGCAAGCTGAACTATATGAAAATTCAGCACATTTTTTCTTCGATGTATCTTGAGCTCCCAAATGTGTGAATATAAATGCAAAGCAGGGAGATCAAGTGTCTTTCTGCTACGCATCTTTTTCCCTGACTAATCCCTTCTTCCTCTGGGACAAGGGAAATGAATGTAGCATTAATGGAGACCCAATGAGAAAAATGAATGTTCTCATTCTAAAAAGTCGACGTTTTCTTTCTGGGGAGGGGGGACGGGAGAACACACACAACTCAGTTCCCTGTAGATACGCTACATTAATAATCCTCCCTGTGCTGCTGCCAGGTGTCAGCTCGTCACTGTCTGAATGACTTACCTGCTTGTCTGTTTTGGGCAGAAAACAGGAGCCCTGCCCCCCATTTTGAGCAGGCACCACTGACTGACATCTTGAATACCGTTTCCCCCCTTATTAATGTCAATTTGCTCAGCAAATTGCAATCGGATCAGTTTTTCTTGGACAGCGTTTTCGCTGGTATTTTTGCTTGTGGTTGGTTGTCCATTCAGAAATATAGGGAGATGTGGGAAGGCTTGTCCACCTGAGTGCGATGTTTTTTAAAATATGAAGTCTCACGTTCTGCCAGGCTCTTAAGGTGCTGGGACTGGCTTACACACAGGTCTATTTTTCAGCCGGAGTTATAAACACTCAGTTATTCTGAATATTTGCTGTTCTCTTACCCGCGGGCTGAAAAGGAGCTTTAGATGCATCAGGTCCTCTTATGGGCACTCTTGCATTTCAACAGTGATATTACAGTCAAACTCTTCATCAGAGTGATAGCATTTCTATGTCTTCACTGTTTAGTGACAACAAAGAAGCAGCTTTCTTACAGTTTACACTGTATCCCTCCAACAAGTTGCATCACATGGATATAGTCAGCTTGCCATTTTTTCCCTCTCTTGAAGTTTCTTGTTTCAGCAGAGCTTCCCCCATTTCCCGGCATTGGTATCACTGGTGACCTGGTGCTGTTCTCTGTTGGAGTGTCAGGATTACGCCAGCTTTTACATTCGCTGGTTAGTTCCAATTGTACGTTGGAAAAAAAGGGCTACATTTAGGGAGGAAAGCCAAGCTACTGGAATGCCAAGACAAATGGCCGACTGGGCCAATGCTCGCATGTGGAATACATTTTTGCTGTCGGAGCTTGTTATTCCTGTGTTGTCAGTGATTGTTTGGGCTACTTAAATGGCCGATTTTCTCCTTGTTGCGTCAGTCACCTCTAGTAATTTTTCAGTCACTCGTGAGCCTGTGACATGCTCAGCAGGATGAAATTGGAACAGGCTGTAGGTGACAAGACTCAGCTTGGCAATCTTAGGAGAAATCTAGAAAGCCTTTGTTTGAGTCAGAGTCACACATTCTTTAGATAGAAAGTATTAAAAAGGTTCAACCTCAGATAAACATAGATATTAAACATTAAAGGTTGCATTTACTTTGAAAAGGAAAAAAAGAGGGAAAAAAGTTATCTTAAATGAATATGGCCCTGAAATAATTCAACAGAAACCCAGTCATTTAAATCTTGTTTGGCACAAGTAAAACTTTCTGAGCATGAATGGATGTAGATAAGTGGTTGGACTTAAGTGAAAGCTTAGTTTACTGAATGAGCATTTAGTTTTAAATCCTCTTACCCTCAGAGATTGTCAAGTGCGACTTTAAAATGCATTTGCTGCCACATGAACGCTCAGGGAATCCCACAGCTTCACTTCTCTGATGTGTTTATGTAAGCACACTGCTCTAAAGATAGCTAATAGACATTCAGCACTTCGTTTTTTTCCCTTCTATCCCCATCCATCAATGTGAATTAAACTTGGCATGTCACGTCTGCGCTATGAGTTCCCATAGATTTCAGGAGAGCCCCTAACATACTATTTTTTCCTCTTGAAACACGACAGTGACAGTGATGGAGGTTTTATAATTTGTGGCAATTATTGGGTCTGCAGTCTGGAGACATGACACATACTGCAACACCTGTTTTTGTAATTCACGTTGATTTTTGCTGTCAGAGCTGTGGTGTAGCTGTGAGACAGCAGAGGAGGAGGCAGACAATTACACCAGCATACTGTCCAGTCAATCAGGACTTTGTGAATGTTCCTAAACAGATTCACAATGACGAAATTAACATGTCACAGCTTATACTTTAATCCGTTAGTAAAAAGGCTTGCATTGGAGGGTTGTGAAATGAAAAACTGTGATTTGTATTTTTAGAAATGGTTGAAAACATTATTGTAAATGAATTCTTGATCATCTGTGTAGCCTGAATAAAATCAGGAATGTGCTTTTTCTGCTAAACATAAAAAAAAAATACTTTTAGGGAGCTTTTTATTTTCTTTGGAAGAAGTTTTGCTGCTTTGTTACATAGTTGATGGTGTACTTCTCATTAATTATGTGTGTATGTATGTATATGCTGTTTATAAGGCAAATAATTTGCACTAATCAAGGCACCTCGACTCCCAAAGTAATCTAAAAACCCCCACCTACCTGTCTCTGATATTATATATTTTTAAACCTGCTTAGTACTTCAGCCCTTCTAGCTCTCACTCTGCACGTCTCTCTCTCTCTTTTTGTCTCTGTTTCAGACATCACTCGCCACCAGGTTTGCACAGGAGGCCTTTGGGAAGCAGTACAAACAAACCATCGGCCTGGATTTCTTTCTGAAGAGACTAAGCCTTCCAGGTGAGACACCTTCATAATCTTTTGGGAGCGCTGGCTTTTTCACAGACTCAGCAATGATACGCCTGTTGCACAAGAACGCAGTGGCAGACTGTGGACTTATTAATTCAATAAAATACAGTGGCGGACTGGTTTTACTGAATATTTCTGATATATTTATGTATTTAATTTTATGGTTTAAAAAAGATTGTATTTTAATTGACAGTCTAACAAAGATGCCTCTTGTTCCATCATTGTATTCTCTCAGATTTTATTTCTCAGGTTTCTAGCTCCGTTCATATTTTCTCTCTTCTCTCCTTTCTAAGAAAAGTTTGTCCTTCAGGTTACTCTGGAGCTGAATGTGTCTTTTTTGGTAGCTCCTCATTGTGGAGTGTCTGCCACTTCTCAGGCTTATTCACTCTGAAAGCTCTTCTCTCTTGAGCAAACAGCACGTTTTTTTTTTGGACTCCACAAGGCCAATGGACAGCTTATGTCCTAACAGGCGAGCCTTGCTCATAATTCTGTGGGCACAGTACAGAGTAAATACATTAACATTTTATATCCATATCACTGATCCCCAAGATCAACTGATCTTTGTCCTGTACTACATAAAACATTCATGTTCTTATTTGTTTATGTGGAACCCGCAGAAATACAGCCACACTCTGTCCCACCTTAGATCTGTAAAAGAAATGTTTATTGACTAATGCTATATTTAGAAGAAAGCGATCCATTTTTACTTCCTACCATGTGAAATGGGGATTTTCAGCATTTTAAATTGCGTTTCAAAAACTCTGCCAAGGCCTAAGCTCCAGAAATCTGCAAAGTGCTTCCATTCTTTCATTACTAATAAAACAACATTAAGCGAGGGCAAATTAAGTGCTAAAAGTAAAAGTTATGCCGGTTTGTGAGTTGGCTGAAGGATTGTGTTTTGATTTTGTGTCAGTTTCAGCTTATGAGACTTAGGAGAACTAAACCCCCAAAAATGTTGTGGTGGATGAAAAGAGCCAACCAAAAGCACAGGCTGCTCTTAGCTCCTTAATGCGAACTTGAACAAATGCTTTTAATCATCTGACCTCTCTTTCCAGTAAGTTTCTCCCCTGAAACCATCACTGATCTCTCAACTGTTAAATGCAGCTTTTGTCTGACTGCAGAGTACGAGTCTGTATCACTGGGCTGCAACATCTCTGGGTCCGACACCGGAGTTGTTAAATGGCCCATTTTCTGGGGAATTGGGTGTTGATGAGCTGATGAAGAGGAGGGTGGCTCAGCTAGGTGGGTGGTCCCGAGCCAGGACCCCCACCCTGCCTTGTATTGGAGAGATTGTGGCTCTACAGGTCTCAGTGGGGCTGTTAGGGTCTTTTGCAGCAGGGGGGAGAGTAGCCTATAGCCAGTGTTGGCCCCTCTCACCATGAAGGCCCAGCTTGTCAAACTTAATGTACATTTTCCAACGCAAGTAGAGGTGAGGCGAGGCTGACTGGCACACAACAGCCTCTTCTGTGCGTGTTTTTACAACAATACCTCCTCCAGATGTCTCAGCCAAGCCAGCGGTGTGGGCGATGATGTGGCCTGGGCCGGGGGAAAGTTTTCTTGATAAGTTCTGTCAAATTGAAACTTTTGGAAACCGTTTCATCTGTGTGTTTCAGCTCACAGTAAGAGGACAGTTATCTTTCAGTTACTGCGTGTTTCTGTTGCCTTGTTATCAGCCTCATGATTCATCCATCTGCGCTTCAGTTTCTACTTCTTGCTACGAGTTTATTATCAGCTCTGTTGAGTCAGCATAAATCTTTAAAACATAAATAAAGCATGTGTCCAGACTCGGTGGGATGGGCGGGGATGGCTCTTTATAACACCAAGGAGCTGTTCATTGCACTCCTCAATGTAGCTTTACATTGACACTGTATAGTCTAGATGTAGTGACTGTGAACCTCAGCGTTTCCTTCCTCTGCTTTAAAAAGGGGACTTATGAAGGGGTTGAGCTGTCCAGCCGTGTCCACAGTGTGTACGCTCTACTCCCCATCATGCTGCAGCCCAGAGCAGGGCCCTCATCACACCAACATAAACTCTGCGCTGTCTCCCTCCTCCTTGTCTTCAACCACCGCTTTCATTTTCCAGAGGAAGAAAATATGCATTTGGATTTTGTTTTTGTGCCCTCCTTCCTCTTTCAGCCTCGTGCACTTTTCCTCTTTCCGCACACATGAGGACAAGAGTCTTCTTTTCCTCTTATTTTCTCTTTAATTATTGCTATTTTCCTCAACAGCACATAATTCTCCTCACTTTCTTAACTTGGCAGGACATGACAACATGAAAACAGCTCAACCCAGGCTAATAAGAAGTCATTTTTTATACTGCCGGGGTGTATAAGAATGTTTAAATTAGAGGGTGAGCGCACCTATTCATCCTTCTCGATCTCTTGGCTGGATATTCTTGGATGTGAGGTGTGGGTGACCTGCCAGACAAGAGAGCTTAGCATGAAAGATTAATCGCTGATTTATTGTTTCCATTATGTACATCAACAACATTGACTTTTATTGTAGAAATGGTTTAGTGAAAATACAGGCTCCAGTTACAGCTGACTCGTAATTTCTTTAGGATTATTAGCTTTCTTAAAACAAAGGAAAGCCACAAATTACAGCTTTTTTATTTTATTGACAAAAGGCAGCATTTTAAAGAAAAGTAAATGAACCTCCTCTCCCAAACAACCTCTATGTTCCCTTTGAGGGTCTGATTCGTTCACATTTTTATTCAAAGTATTCCTGTCTCTTTTCTCTCCTGCAGGCAATACGAATGTGACCCTGCAGGTGTGGGACATCGGAGGACAAACATTAGGAGGGAAAATGTTGGACAAATATGTGTACGGTGCCCATGTAAGTTTGCACACACAGACACACTACATTTTTTGGTGATTTGTGCAATTTTGTTCTTCTGCTTCCTCCTCTCATCTATAAGTCATTTATTCTTTCAACACATAGCAAGAGAGAAAACTGTACATATTAAGGTTGTGTTTTCTAACACAACCTTAATATGTACAGGGACAAAGTCAGCAAAGAGAAAAGAGGCATTTCATTGTCCACAAGGGGCGCCAAAATCAACACTAACAGAAAGTTCCTCAAAGGAGTTTTAAACATGTTAACTGTCCACAACAAAATAAAACTTTGACATGCTGAACGGTTTGTAAATGCATATTAATTTTGCATTCTAATGTAATGACCATTTTACCATTTGGAGTATGTAAGGAGGACCTGCCTGCAATCACTACAGAGATCCAGCAGTGGTTTCATTGGTTGTATATATTTAAAAAAAGGTATGGGGAGCACAAAAGAAACTGATTTTCTGGTGTTAGTGGTTAGATTTTTTATAACTGCATCAGAGGAAGCTACTTTTTTCTATTTCAGTAAAATCATAAACTATTATTTGGTGAGAAGACAGGGCAGAAGAGTTTAGAAATTTGTTGTTTCTGTTTCATTTTATGCCAAAAAAGTTGCTTATTTTGTATTCGAATTTGTAATGATGTTCTTGTATTGTATTGTATGTATTGTATTTGCATAATGTAGGTCCAGACTTGTAGCTATAAAAATAAAAAAATTGGCAATTTGAAGTGAAATTATTAAAAGTAATCTCCAGTTTTATAAAGAGCCAAGCCAACCTGTGAATGAGCATGAAGTAGGATAGGCTACAGATTGATATATTTACTCTCATTTAATGAAAAACTCATCTGAAATGACCACTGATCTCTCTGGCTGTCTGTAACTTGTGTCAGACTGTGCTCATTTACTCTAGTGGCAGTGACATCAGTGCTACAGAGGAAGCTTTTTGCAATAGATATGTGCTATCTGTCACATATTCACAAAGACATTTCTGCTACAGAAGCTAAATAAATGTTAGTGCGGCTCTAAGCCCTTCACGTCTGCAGCCCTGTCTGTCCTTCACAAGCAATATGTCGTACATCAATGCCAAATTACGACACTTTGCTTTGAGAGTTTCTCGTCAGCGCTTCATAGAACTTTCACACCTATTGTTCGGCACTGTGCGTCCTGTAATCAATCATGGCTGTTGGGAGAGACTGGCAGTAATTGTCAGAGGTCTGAGCTGTCGTCACCGACCTCGCATGTTGTGACAGCGCGTGTCTGCCGAACAAAAAGCAACAGACACCCCTACAGTCATGTTGCATCATGCAGTAAAAGTCGAGACATATTCCATGGCTCACCTTAATTTCCAGTAAAAGCTTACAGAGTGATAGCAGACAGGTGAGACAAGTGATTATTTATCTTGAATCATGCCAACAGCTCTCGTTTTTTTGTTTACTCTTTGACTAATTTGTATGTCCATGTAAAGTGTTTGCTCAGACGTGGCTCTGAAGTTGCTGAAGAAGTATCTTCAGAATATCTTTTCTGCGTTGAATTCTACTCTGTGCTTAAAAAACTAAAATGTTCATACGACTTAAACACTTAAAAGTGATCAGAATCCCTCTGAAGCCCCCAGAAATTATTAGTAAGTGTGCCCCCCTCTGAGTCTGTCCCCTCCTCTATGAAGAGGAGCACTGCCACCTACTGTTCCCTTAGTCCCATAGTAGTACTTATGATGATACGAAGGTACATGGACTAAAGCTTTGTGCTCACATTAAGTATAATGTAGGATAATGTCTTTGTGCTTTGTTGTTCTTGAATGCTCTGTTGCAGGGAGTTCTCTTGGTTTACGACATAACGAACTACCAGAGCTTTGAGAATCTGGAGGATTGGTTCAGCATGGTGAAGAAGGCCAACGAAGAGTCTGACATCCAGCCTGTTGTCTCCCTGATTGGGAATAAAAGTAAGGATTACACATGCACTTCCTTTTTAATCCTTTTATTCAGCCTTGAAAAAGTTTGAAGACAGCTTTATCTTGATTTCCACTGAGAAATCTACACATTCACTATTATTGCCGTGCACTTTTGGAGTGAATTTTTTCTGTTTATTTCGCCTTTGCACATTTTTCATTTGGCGTGTCTGTGTTTGTGTGTGAAGGAGTGAGTGTTTGATGGTTGCAGACGTGTTTGTTAAAGCACCAGATAACTGATCGGTATGATAAGCCAGTTGATAAGAGGGTGAGGTTTGGGAGCGATGGGAATGCTGATGTTTGTGAACTCTGGGGAGTGACTGACGATGATTTAAGATCCACCAGCAAACGAACATGAGGCATTGCTTATCAGTGCCCCCTCCTTCCCACCCTCCACCCCCTGAGCTCGATCCTGTGCTTCTGTCCGAAGTCGCTGGTTAAGGAGAGAAACCCCGATGTTAACCAGATGGCTCTCCTCCTATCAGCTCGCACCCATCCACCCATCTCCAAAATACAGAGTAATAATGATGACTCTTTTAAACATCCCTCTGACAGATGTGGAGTCACGGCTGCCGCCATGTTGTTGTAAAGTGGGGCGTCAGAGTGTGTGAGTAGCAGTGACTCTCCACCTTCCTGAGTAATGATGAACGGTCAACAGAGTAGTGCCAGCGCGCAGGAAGCTCTCGCTAATGTTACTCAACAGGGGCCACGGGTCACGCTTTAATTCGCCTGTCTCGAGCAGATTCTCTTGTCTTTGCATCAGTTGCATCACTTAATGCCTCGGCTCGAACAGCGGGCGCCTCTGTATTTAGGCTAGGTTTTAGCCTCGAGGGTGAGTGTTTGTACTGTAATATTTAAGTTGCGTTCATCCTGCTGTCAGGCTCCTCACCCCCACACTCACAAAGTCTTCTCCCCTTAATAGCTCCATTGCTGAGAATGGCCAGTGTCTGTGTTTTTTCTATTCCTGTGTTCCTGCACTCTGGAAAAAAGAAAAACAAAATCCCACACAGATTACCCCACGAGGAGCAATTAATTACCTTGCAAGACTTCATCAATCCATGAACCCTCCCATGGGCTTCTTTTTCTCTGGGACCCTGGTGAGAAGTAGTCCGGTTAACTATCTGTAAATGGCACACTGTCTCACAAACCTAGCTTCTAGCCTTTTTAAGTATTGTCGTAGTGGTACTGTCTCATAATTTCCCCCACTTGAATACTTGGCACACACAAGCAAAAAAGCTGACTGTATGATCACACAGGATTCTTTTGGGAGCGAAGTTAAGATTTCTTTTTAATGGTTCCCATGATGTGGGACTGAGTGAGAAAACATGTTTGTGACAACCAAAATAGAAGGACAGACATAACAAGGAGCTTACAAAAACACTGCAGATTTATGTCTCTGCGAGGACCCATCGAGGGAGATTGTGGTGTTTCACCCATCAGAAGTTTAAAGTGTTTCCACTTAGGCTGAACACTGACTGTGAATGAGATTGACATAGCAGGACTTACTTTGGTCGCAGTTTGGATCAGAAGTGCTTCGTGTGGAGATTTAAGTTTCATTTCTTCTCCACTGAAGATCTGATACAGAATTGAAAAAAATGCAGCATTTGTGAGTACTCTTTTTACATAGGAGGCTACAATCAAACGGGACTCTGTCTGGCTTGCTAGCATTACATGTGCTCAGTGTACATTGAGCTTTAAATTTCCTGAATTACCCAGTGCCTGCCGACTGGTTTAATTTGAACACTATCCTCTTTGCCCAGTGTGCGTACGGTAATTGAGCCTACAGAGGAGACCGGTTCGTTAATGATACTGTCCCCTCCTCTGCTTACCCTGGCCTGACTGCCCTCCTGTGCCATGTCGCAGCTCGGGGAACAACCTTTCCTTTCTTCGGCGCAGCGTGGCCAGCTGGGGTTAAGTGTGCTTGTTAAGCACCAGTATGCTGCACTCCTGTGCCCTCTGCATGCTGCCTAGAGTCTTTTTTTTTATGAATAACAGCACCACTTGTAACAATTCAGAAAAGAAGCCAGTGAGATGTTTTATTAGTAGGCACATACAGTTGTTAATGCAGCCGGGCTTACCCGCCACATCCACGGACAGACGCTCACGGGGAAACATGCGCTGAGGTGAAGCGACACACTTGTGGAGTTTCTGGGAACACACGTGTGTAATGGAAGAATGCTAAGCTCTTAGTCTGTCTAAACATACTATAACTGTTTATTACAGCACAGGCCAGTGTTACACTATATGCTACACAGGAACCTCTCAAAAGAAATGTTGGCTTGTTGCTCAGTCATCTCCCCCACTGCTCAAGTGTTTCATATTTGGAGACTAATAAGTGCTCGATGTTATGATTGGGCTTGAAATGATTAATTCTTTTTCTCTTGTGCTTCACAAATGTTTCAAGAATGTTTGCCTTTTAGGATAGAGATCGACTGGCCTCATTTAGAAGAATGTGGTATGCTATTAACAGGCAATATCCATATTTTTGCATGTTTTATCTGTCACCGCATATCATATCTGAACGGGGCCATCATCGTTTTTAAAATAAGTCCTGTTACTGTTCTAAATCAGAAAACATATTTCTTTGTAGACATCAAGTCTGCGTCATTTATCAAGCCAATTTGTTTTTATGAAGTAGGGATTGCAGGACCCCTGCTCGATCCCCACCCATCACCCATCCCATCGCTAGCACTCTCTCCCTCAAGAACTCCAGAGCATCCATCATGGGTTTGTACAGCCCTTATTTGGGTGACTTAAATGGGTTCAGTTCTCTTAACCCCTCCTCATCACTCATGGCTTTTTACTCTGAGGTTCTAACGCCGTTCACTGCTGATCCACTCAGGCCTGCCATGGGAAACGTTCTCCAGTTCATGGAGATAAGGTCCCCGCATGAAGACACTTTGTACACTCAATTACGTCTTACCCATCTTTCTCCTCTTCTCTGTTTCTTTTTCCACTGTCTTTCTCCTCGGAGTCTTTATCTTGTACCATCTCTCCAAACACTCTTGCACATTCATTTTCATCCTTGTGCAAACATTAACTCTTTCAGTCACACACTTAGAGCGACTCTTAACGCTTATCTCTCACATGTGTAGACCAACACTTCTCCTGTTGCTGCCTTTACTTACAGTAATGTCTTTTCATTGGCTCTGTGTCTCTGTTGTGTTAAACAACATGCGTGTGTTTGCTTTCTGCACGCTATGGCAGATCTTACCACATACCGTTACCCGTCGCACTTCTCTCTCCACAGTTTTCCATCCAGCCATGTGAAAGTTAAAGCGAAACATGGATCTCCCCTAACTCTTGATTCTCATGAAGCATGTCCTTGCCACCAACATTGTTGGTCTTGAGTTGTTTGGCCTCTTGGCAAGAGTTTCCCCCCTTCCCCAGCTCTCTCGCCCCCATCACCTCCCTGCCCCTGTAAAGCTGCCACAGTTCCTGTCTGTTCAGTGCAGGCCTGCACATTTCTTAATAGAGAGATGCTCAGAAGTCCAGGAGTGCAGAGGAGCTCAATGCGCTTCTGTTTTTGGTTTAGCTCAAAAATGTTTTTCCTGGCTCAACCCACTCGTACTTAGGTCCTCTTACAACAAACTAAAAGGTCCTAATTGCCCCCAAGGGAAAGGTTAGCCACAATAGACATGTGGTGGGACAAAAGCCCAGTACTCTAACTCGGCACCCTCACCCCTCCCCAGATAGAGGGGATGAACACGTCAGCAGTGTCTGTTTTGCACTGTGGGCAGCGCGACCACAGGTTAGACGCTGTAAAACGTTATATATACAGTATATAGAGCCAGTAAGGGAGGGCGTATGGTCGGCTACAGATTTGGAATGTTTACAGTTTACAGCAAATCCAGTGTTTCCTGTTTCTCTTCACATTTTATTAAAGGTAAAGGGTCAGAACAGTCGTGTGTATCAAATTATCTCTGTAACCGCACTGACTATAGCCTGCCGTCTCTCTGTGAATCTGGAAAAGATTGGAAATAAAGATTCAGGTTTCAACAAGAGTACTGAAGGATGATTGAAGAATACCAGCTGTATTACGCTGCGGCTGATAAGTTGGTGTAAAATAGCAGCTGCAGATGCTGAGACGTGTGTCCTCCTGCAATTCAGTAAAGGGTTGTCTAAGCCTACTTAGGTCGCTGATAGAAGATTTCTCCCGCTCAGCGTTGAGTTTATGTAACATGGAGCAGAAGTTTGCCATTTGTTGCGTTGCTCTGAGGCTTAATTGTAACAACTGTTTAACCCGGCTCTCCTCCCTGCTCTCATCTTTCTTGAGTCTCATGCCTGTCGAAACATGGAAAGTCCTCATTCATTTTAGCCATCCATAAAGCAAATATTGTTGCACATGCAGAAGATGATCAGTCTTCGCATACCTTCTTGTGTGGTAAGTCATGGGCCATTTGAGTTGCACAGCAAAGCTTAGCCACCTGACCTGAGAGCAGCCTGGAGCCCTCATCATGCTCAGGCTGTACTTTATTTCTACGCTGCTTCACAACATTGATATGGAGGAATTCCTGGAAGAGGTCTTGCTGACACAGGGTTGGGTAAATAACTGATTGATCTGGATCCACAGGCATATATTTAAAATGTGTGTGAACGAGCAACAGTTTCCCCCTCCTTTATCCCCAGGTCTACTTTCTTGTTGTGTAAAGTTTTACTGTTTTGCGCCCTTTTAAAAGTTTTTACCCAGCTTTCATTTGCTCAGTCATTCATGAACTTATCATCAGTTCTCAACAGTGAAAATGAATTTATATATGCAGGCTGTTTGAAAGCATCATCCCGCACAGAAAGACTATAATTATGAATAGACCTGTGGGGATGGGATGCGTACAATATGAAAGCTCCCCTGTGGTTTGTATAATTATTATGGCTCACAGTTACAGCGCCGGCTCGCAGAGTCGTGTATTACCTCTCGCCCATAAAAGACCACTTAGTTTAACAGCAACAGGAGAGCTTGGAGGACATGGCCAGTGAAACCCCGGGCAGCGTCTTGTGCGGTCGGCTCAGAACTGGGCCTTTTGTTCACTTTTCATGAGTCCTGGGAGCCCGTTAACCCAGCCTGCGAGGCCCTTTGGCCCCATGTTTTACTGTAGCAGTGACAGCCCTGCTCTCCAGCTCTTTCTCCGCCTGGAGAGCTACTGCTGGACGCTGTTTTACATTCTCTGCGACTGGGAAGGAACACCACATTGTTTTACTGGCCACTGTGGAGTATCTGATTAGGTTTTAAAGTGTGAAAGTCTTTGTGTGTCTGTGTGAGTGCACATGGTTTCATGGAGAACGATCAAATGACAAGATGAGCTGTGATCAATGAGCTGTCGACAGAACACTTCTGACCTAGTGGAAAGCGAGTCCCCTGACGGTCCCGGCCCGCTTCAGGCCACCGGGGCAGGGGCCGGCAGCACAAAGAGCGCTCTGTCTCTGTCAGGATCCCCCCCCCCCCCCAGGACTCCTGCACCGGCCCCGCTCACCTCCACAACACCAGGCTACTAACAGCACTTCATCTGTCCGTACTTACTCCTAAAAGTCATGATAATATTATTGACTTACCCTGAATCTTTAATGTTCTGAATGTTTTTAGATTTTTTTTCCGTAACAAGTCAAATTCTTGTGAATAAACTTTTACTGACTAATACCACAAATGTTGCTATAAATCTAAAAACAAATTGCTGATGTGCTATGAAATTGCACTAAAGCTGACGCAGCATTACATAAAATAATGGTCAGTTTTAGGCAGTTCTGCACTAAATAAAGATGTTTAGGTCCTCTGCTACAAGTACTTCATACCTACACTGATAGGGTTTAATATAATGAGTATGAATAGTGTTTGCATTGGTTGACTTTTAAATGAATGGTGTCTTAAAAGTAAAGAAAACTCACCGTCTACTGCTACACCTCTGTCTAATATCTTATTTTAGAGTTGGAAAATGGCACTGGGAACCAGCCAGGTTTTTTATGAGAAAGGTATTACTGTTTGCACTAACATTGTACTGTCCATATTTTAATACAGGTAAAAAAATAATTCAAGTCATTCATATTTCAAAACACTCCACTTTTATGAGCCCGCCGTAAGTCATGTAAACCAGTCAGGCCCAGTCATTTAAACGCTTCACATAAATTCTCTCAGTCATTTTGTTTTATTAGGCACTTGTGCTGTGAAAGTTAAATTAATGTCCAGTTGAATCAGGCATCACACAGAATGATTAATAATAACTTTTACTGCCTTCTCAAGCTAGTAAATGTTTCACAGTGTTGTACCTGAAACTTTAAAGGGAGATAAAATGTCTCTTGCAATTAATTCTACCTGATTCAACCTGGAGCTATTAGGCTTTTAGAGGAGGGTGTTTTACTTCTTTGAATGAGTCTTGCAACTAAATAACCGCTCATTTAGAAGATGAAGTATGTGCAGTAAGAAATGTGGAATCAGTTTTTGCTTATGTTTTTTAAGTAAGGTAAAGGACAATCAATGCTTTTATGTTCGACAGATTTATAAGTATGTTGAGAAACATTTCTGATAGTGATATCAATACAACGTTTGGCTGTTATGTTGTTGATTTGGACACTTAAAGCTACCCTGAAGAGTTTATGACTATCTGTTGTACTACTGATTATTGTGTTATATTATTTTAAATTGTCATGAATAAGCATTTGATCAAGCTCAGGCAAACTACAAGTGTTTTTTTATTACTCAATATAAGGTGATGAAAGTGACGTGCATCCATAGACTGTATATAGAATTGATGCCGTCTGCCTCCTCACTGGATAAAGCCACTCTGAGAACAGCACCCTCTGGTGATGGGCTGCAGTATAGGTCATAAATCCCGCCTCCGCCAGCAGAGCTCAGGGGGTCAAAGGAGGAGGAGGAGACCAACACAATGCAATATAAGTTAATATTAAATTGCAAAACTGTCTGTTTCATTTTTTCATTCATTATCATCTGCAATGCATAATGGGAAATCTTTCTTTATGCGAGTAGTGAAGGCATCACTGGTATTTTCTAGGTGGTTGAAAAGGATCCCATAGCACCTATCCCCTCTTTGTGCAGCAAAATGCAGTTTGCAGGAACTTTAAAGCCTAAAAGCGATCTGCATCTTTCTCATACACATACCATGACCTAAGTCTTCATTCATAGTATCTGAACTGTTCAGGGTGGTCTGACTGTATCACGGTCCAGCTTTAATCTGTTGCACCACTAACAAAAACACACCAATGACTTTGTTCACATATGGACAAAGATGGCATAAAAACTCTGTAGGAGAAAAGCACATTTCTGAGTGAGTTATTAGCCACTGTTCTTATGTCATTTTATTTCTACAGCAGAACTAAGCAGAAGAAACTCCCAAAAACCCATTACAAGTAAGAGCTGTTCAAAGTGTCTGGGATGTTTTTCAACTTGGTGGTGCATAGTGAGTAATTTTCCTAGACAGCTATAAGTCATTTCATTAAAAGTTGGACGAGCTTTGACAGTTCTCTCTTGCCCTTACTGTGCAGTCTAAATCGGTATTTGGTCGTCATTGAGGGGAAACAGAGGCAAACCGTCTTAACAGGGTCTTAAAGGCGTAGTGTGAGGTAATGTTGGATGTGATAGGTTCTCCCCTGTGGTTGATTAGGCCCAACCCTGTAACTTTCACTTAATGCGATATGACCCCTCAGAGCCCCAAGTCTCTAACAATGCACACATACGCCCCACAATTACTACCACACACAGGCACTTACACATACACACAACATGCATAGTTCACACATCACACACCCTCAGCCTCCATTCTCCCTGCTGCATCAACTGCTGTTTGTCTTAAAACCAGGCTGCTGGCAAATAAATGTGTTATGTCAAGCTTTTTCTCTGGCTGTTGCTCGTAAGGTAAACTGTTCCAATTGGTCCCCAGCAGCTGACCATTGAATAGTAAGTAGGTGTCTCTGTTATCACAGCGTGGTTTTAAAAAGCCCACTGAGGATCACACAGTGTAGTGTAGGATTTCAGACTGGTGATCCAGCACTGGGCTGTTACCTCATTGTCGAGCTTTGGCTACATTTGATGGTGGAATCTAAAGGAAAAATCCAACCTTGATTTCTCACATTGCAGACATCTGGCCTGTTGCAGCGTCCATGAGAATAACAAAAGAACATATTTGGGAAACAAGGTACAATGTCAGTAATCCGCTGCTTCTGGTGGGAGTTTTTCCTCTTTAGAGTCAGTACATATTAAAGAAGTCTTCAAATCAAGATTGAACAAAACCTGTTGTAGTCAAAAATAATAAACATAATTTATTTAGCTTTTTTCCGACATTTTGTTAATTCGATTCCCTTTCACTACTTGTGCAACTGCTATCCTTTGTTTTGGCATTATCATTATTAGTTATAGTGGCAGCATTTTACTGCTTCTCTTAAAAAAAAACGTACATCTTAGGAATAAAAAAATAATCAGCAAACTGACTCTGTGATATCACCAGCATTCTCAGCGTACCTCTTGTTCATGTTTAATTTAAAAGACTGTTGACTTGACTTGATATAGAAAGTTTAAAGCTCCTGTGAGGAGTTTTCTAACATGTATAAAATAGACATTTTCACTGATTCCTTTTTATGACATACAAAAGCAAACGAGACCATCTGATACAGGATTACCAACTTTTATTTTGTCATTTTTAATGAATGAAACCAGATCAAGGGGGTAGGTAGAAAACAGCCCTTCTTTTACAACCTCCACAAATTTATCTCCAATAAATAATCAATTTGACTTTCAAAAGTCAGAATGATGTGATGTTTGGTAGAAGACTACTTCAGCATGTAGAGGACAAGAGAAGTAAAGACTGCTTTGTCCACAGGGGGTGCCAAAATTGACATAAACTGAAACTGAAAGTTCCTCACAGGAGCTTTCATGTATTTTGAAATTCTCAGAAGGTGCCCCCAATGCCTGTTGCATGTCTTGGATATATCTAAAGGACGTTAAACTCAGTTTATTCGTCACACAGCATAATTTTATTCTTACATTTTCTATACTGTAACCCCACAAAGTTTTTACGTATTAATGTTGTATTTCATGATTACCAGCTCATCACTATATACTGGCAGTTTTCTTTGTTAGCCAATAAAACACACCTCTTTACTTTCAGCCACTTATTTAATTTATGTCAATATTATTTTAGTATAGATTACTCAGTTATTAAATTTAAGCCATTGGCTCTCATTTGCAGATAATATGATCAAGCAGTCACTGAAATAACGGACCAGTTTTTTATGGTCAAAGTTCAATTTATCCAGCAGATATTTATCTTTAGCTGTTGTCTTGTGATTCACCACAATGACAGGCAGACCTTTTAAATAAACACTGATGGTGACCAGAGCGCAGCGAGGCCATCGCTCTTAACGAGTAATGATCTCCTCCACTATCTCTATGTGCTCTGAGGCCTAAACAGTTTATTTCGTGTTTGCAGTCACTTCCTAGGGGTTGTTAAGCTGATGTACAGTTTGACAGAAATGGAGGGAAACCAGATCATCAGAGGGAGATTGTTTTGACCTGATAAGTAGAAATGGGTACATTAGGGAGAAAAATGGAGCAAAACACTAAAACTGTAGGATTAGTGTTGTATTCACTTTATATAGACAGATGACACATGCTGCAAAAATCCTTCATGTGAGAATGTCGACTCACAATAATTCTGTGCACAAATCAGAACCTGCAAAAAAAGTGACTTTACTCATACAAACAGAGTAATTTCTCCACAACATCTTTGAAGTAGATATTCTGGGCTCTATTCTGGGTATATTATAGGTAGTTTCTGAGTATTTTAATTTTCTAATTCATAAAAAAAGTTATTTTGTTCTGCAGAAATCTTAACCACTTTACAGCCAATCACATTTAAATAATTCTCACGCAACTGAGAGTTAAAATACTTCAACAGATATGTAGTTTGCTCTGTCTGTATTAATCAGAACAGGAAGTCATTTTCTCATACATGATAAACACATCACTGACACTTACACAAAGTGTATTTGGAAGTGTTTTCATAAGTAAATCAGCTTCTTCTTGACCGTTAGATAATCTCCCTTCAGTGTAAGTTATTCAAACACCCAGAATACTTTAAACTGGAACTATGATTCAAAGAAGACCTCAGCATCAAATTTTCTATCATTTCTTTTCAACCCCAGCTGACTCTCTAAATATTTCTATTTCAACTACAGCTCCTCTAAGGCGTCTTCCAAACCCAACTATCAACATTGACCCCGCAGCTTTTAGCACACGCTAGCATACTCTCATCATCATCAGGATTCCCCTGTGCCCTGAAACCCTCCTTTTTCCAGAGCCTAAATCTAAATTTCCACTCTTCTTTACGCACATACTCACAGAGAGGGTTCATAAACCTAACTCACCTTTCTACTTACAGTAACGTGACTTCCACAGCTCCTAAGCTGCTATGTTAACGTTGGCTAATCTGGTTGTGACACATGATTGATTACCTTTCCCAAGTGTGCAGGATCCAAAGGATTAGCCGTGTTTACATCTAGTAGCATGTTGGGTACCTCTGCTGTTAATGACTGGAATTAATAACCTGCTGACGCCTATGAGACAGCTGTGTTTATGTACGGGCAGAGACATGACAGTCTGCCGTGGGTATGAGTGGTTGTAAAAGTGTCTGCCCTCGTCCAGAAAGGTTTGTGTTTATATGTCACTTACGATGATGGGAGTATTCAATTTAGCCTCAAGTGATTACCCACAAATTATTTTTGTTATTATGGATCGGCTTTTGACATTGTTGGGTCATATGACTTGCTGAGATATTAATAATACAGGATTATTGCAGTGTTTACATTTATTCCTCTCTGTGTATCTGTCTCGTTCTTTCTTTGCTTCCTAATATACCCCCACCCCTCTCTCTCTCCCTCACACACACACACACACACACACACACACACACACACACACACACACACACACACACATACATACACAGTAAGGGGCATGAGAACAGGGAAAATCCTTGACAACTTCAATAAAACCTCACACAAAGAATAAAACTCGGGGGGACAAGAGAAATGCAACACCGTACAGTAGCCTGACCTCTTCCAGCTACCATAGACATGTATGCACCAGATACCGGGCGTGGCTGCCTTCCCGCACAAAGCCAGAAATAAAGACAGCAGCTATTGCTTTCAGCCGCAAGACCCCCGGGTGACCTTCTCCATCGACCCCTCCATGACCCCATAGTAGGGAAGGAGAGAAGCAAAGCACATGGTATCACTGCACAGGAGTCGAATGCACATCACAATAGCTAAAAAGGAAGGTGCTGTCATTGTGAGCTCACAGTAAATCAGCATGGAGGTGACAGTCCTAGTTCTTGGTCCTGCGTGCCCACCTTAAAGGCCGGCACACTCATAAGTCAAACTGTTTTCTCCATCTACGCTCTCACTGTGAGTGTAGCCTGAAGACTTTGCATTGTTTCTTAAGCATTTCTCCACAGCTGGCCTGGTTTGTCTTTTTCGGGTCAAATAGAGGTTCATAGCTTCAGGGTCCAACCGTGCTAGGTTTACACCGAGGAATGTGTCACATCAAGCTTTAATACCAGGTAGCAATGAAGCTTGAGGCTACCAAATTGATCATTTCCACTCGTACAGCTCCCCAAGAATGACTCCCTGAAATATTACGATAGAGTAATTTGTGGACTCAGCAACATAACAATTGAGATATGCTTTGTTTTTACTTGCATATACGGACTATTTCTCCACAGCGGGCAGGCTCCTTTCCATCTTAACTCAAGTATAAACAGTTATCTTTTCTGTTTGGGTCCAGATACGCGACAGTTAACCCTGCAAGAGTGCTGTTTATCCACTGTGTAAATGTATTTATCTGTCCTGTGCAGGGTTTTTGTAATGCTGTGTTTCATCCACAGTTGACCTGGAGCACATGAGGACAGTGAAGGCTGACAAACACCAGCGTTTCTGCCAAGAGAACGGCCTCATCAGTCAGTTTGTGTCGGCCAAGACAGGGGACTCGGTTCGTACCGGCTAATTCACAGAGCTGAAGTAAAAATATTGAGTACAGAGTGACTTAAATGAGACTTACTTTGTCTCTTTTATTCTTAATGTGTCTCTTCTCAGGTGTATCTGTGTTTCCAGAGAGTTGCAGCTGAGATTCTGGGTGTGAAGCTAAACAAAGCAGAAATCGAGCAGTCCCAGGTGAGCAATAACCCCAATCAGGTCTTTTCTCCAGTTTCACTTAGCTGACTGTGCAGCTGCCACTCGTGCAAAAGCCAAAATCACTTTCTCAAAAACAGGAGAGAAAAAAAAAAAAAACTTTTCATTACTTCTTTGCACTTAAACAGCTGCTGTTAAGAAATCTCTTTTTATAACCACTTGATAAAAGAGTAAAAGTCTCAGGTGGGGTCTTCTCTCCATGTATTACTTGCAATGTTGTGCCTGAACTTAGGGGAGGTCAGACTGAGTGTACCAGGTCAACAAAGGTCACCACACACTGTAAAGGACCTTTAGTCGTGTAAACACAAGTTTGTTACGTCTGCCTCCAGTGATGGTCTACCTGCCACTGACACTGCCCATCTGTAAAGAGAGCCACATTGACCGCATTAGCGCGTGAAGTCAGAGGTTAGAGGAAGGCAGTCAGAGGGGCGAAGAGGTCAGGGTTGGTTGTCTGATTTATTTGGTTTATCTCCCACCGTTTTGGGGCAACACAGGGTCTCAGACTGCCAGTCAGACCAAGGTGCCCGATGGTGGCAGCTGGAGGATTTACAAGGTCACCTCCCCCAGAGGCATTAATCCTGTGTCTGATATGAACGCCTGGAGCCACTCTGGCTGGGTAGTGGTTGATGAGCCTGGGGTCTACAGAGAGGTCAGGACCCTCAGAGAAGGGAGAGCATGTATGGGAAGGACTGGTCAAATTCTCAAGACCCTCTCCCATCACCAACGCTGCTGCTGCTGACCAGCAGAAATTGACCATGGACTAATGTAGCTGAACATCTACCTTTCTCTTAGAAAAAACAGAAAGCTTTGATCCAAGATTATAATTTACAGAGGGCTTTATTTATTAGATCTCCTTAGAAATGGATCTAAATATTCAAACTGATTTACAGTGAATTAAAGGAAAAACAGAGAAGATACAGTATAATCAAACATGCAGGGTTGCAGAGTCTCAGCAACGAAGAAGGTAAGGAAGGGGATTTTTATGCACCAGCCAAAAAAATACATTGAACAACAAGATTAAATTTGCAATGCCTACACAAATAAAAATGTAATGTAGGCAGTATTATGTTTTCTATATGTGTAAATCAGGTTTTATCCGATTTCAGGTTTTTCATTATTTGTATTTCAAAATAAAAGTCCACTGATTTGATCGACTCCTGCAACTAAAAGTTCCATAATTAATCCTGATACTTGTTTGTCCAGTCATGAATTTTATTGGGCGTAAAGTGTAAACAGTAAAACATTTCAGGAGGGAGTCTACTTATTATTTTGTCAAGACAAAATCCAGAATCCAAAACATTTTACTTCTTACTAATATGGAACAGAGAAAAGAAAGAAAATCTTCACATGGAGGGAGCTCAAATTTGAAGATGTGTGGCGTAAAATAATGACTTCATGTATGTTTGGCGTATGGACATGCTGTCTGTGTATTTAAATCTTAATACAATAAACAATGAACACAAATTCATGCTGAAGAAGTAAAGGATCGGCGATGAAGTTTTGTCATGGTTACAGAAAAGAGGCTCTGAGCGGGTCACGGCTTTGGGTCTAGCCATGGGGCCAGGGAAGCCTCATTATCAGCTGTCAGCTTTGGAGAGTCGAACATGAGGGTCACAACCCCCTGACAGTATTGTATCTGCCTGACAGGCCTCTCTGTCATGGTACTCTGTCTGCTGGATCAGATAGCGAGGCCTTGGATCACTCACTGACTCTGACACCAGGCCACGGCAGATCGTTAATCAGGCAGCCAACCAGAGCCTGCGATTCAGCATGAGTGGTCAGGTCTGAGGCAGTTGCGCGGCAAAAAGTGAATCATATCTTGACTTTTTTTCTTTTTGCATTCCAGGGATAATGATTCGAGTACAGACAAAAGAAAATAAAACAGTGACAGTCTTAGTTGTTTAAACTGTCGAAAACACGCAACACGTTTCTTGATTCTGTTCTTCATAAGTTGCGTTTCTCAGGCTTTTCATAAATGTTGGAAAATACAGTTCACTAAAGGATTTATTAACTTTTATTTCCTCATTTTATTTTTATTATGATTAATAATAATATTATTATTATGTGTGCGTCTGTACATGGATACACACATGATTATAATTACTTGTAATTACTTAATGTTCTGTTAAATGATGATGATTGTTCTTCAAATCCTAAAAAAAAGTTGATCACAAAAAAAGGATATATTTGCTTTTTAGACTTTTTGAAAAATAATCTTCCTTTGGGATCCAGGGAATGATGTTAATATTTAATTAGTGTTTTTAGGAGTGATAAATAACCAATGGGCGAGATTATAATGGATTACAGTCACAATTCAGAGAGTTTTGGGTCATTTATCTACACACTTGTGAAGTACAGTCAATAATAAAATCATTAAGATTCTGCGCTTGTCTATCAATGTCATGCTTCACGTTTTTGTTCTGTTTTTCATCATTTCGCTCTTTTTAATTTTCCCTATTCATTGTCCTGACGCTTTGCTGTTTCGGTGTCCATTCATCTCATTTTTCCACCCGTTTCTCTGTCCTTCTGCTTCCCTCCATTACCACCCCGCTCTGACGTGTTGAACTGGCTCAGAGGATTGTGAAGGCTGAGCTGGTGGACTACCCTCAGGATGAAGGCCCAATTAGACAAGACAACAACCAGCCAAGCAAAATATGTTCTGTTCAATAGTGTGAAGTACGTCAAATTTCAGTAGATAGTCATCGATCTTAGTGTAGAAAAACAGTAGCTTTGTAGATGTGGTAAATATGGGGAAATCTATTAGACAAATAATCCAGAATCAAATCTCTGTTGTCCTAGAGTTGACAGGATGGTACTGACTAATCTGAATGTGTTTCTCTGAGTTGATCATGAGAGTGATGCTGTAAAAGAAGCTTTAAGACACTCAGACTATCCTTGTTTGTTCTTAAGCAGGCCTGTGGTCAGGGTGGACGAATATTGTGTTTCAAATCCTGCATTAAATTTGAATCATGTAAAACGCGATTCAGGAGGTTTTGTTAGAGGAGAAAAGTTCCCACTTTGTTGCAATGAGTTAGATGTAGAGATAGATGCCACTTTTGCTCATCTGCATTGAATAAGAACAGACAACTGTGATTGGATTACTTAAGCTTCAGTACGCTGTCTCAGAAAGCAACCATCTGAGCTAGAACTTTCTCTTCTGTTTAATTATCATTGTTTATTGACCAGCTAGAATCTGAAGGTAAAAGACTAGGGTACCAAGCTGAACATCTCATGAGAACAATCTATATGAAGCTCTTGACTTCACTTTCATCTATTTTCATGGCTACTGGCATGTTTTTGTGTTTTTAACTAAAGAAATAATTTGTTGTTTCGTCTCTAAATGTGTTTCTCTGTCCTCGTTTTCAGCGTGTGGTGAAGGCCGACATCGTGAACTACAGTCAGGACACCGTGGCCAGGACAGTCAACCCCCCTCGCAGCTCCATGTGTGTGTTGCAGTGATCACCTCCATCACACACACACACACACACACACACACACACAAAAAAAAAAACACACACACACACACCATGATAAAATACACACTCAAAGATATAAAACTGTCTTCAGTCAGTATTCCTGCTCTTTCAGGGTTTTGGGGGTGACTGGACGAGATGTGTTCAGAGTCTGTATTCCTGTGTGTCAGTTGTTTGAGTGAGACGGAGAACAGACTGTGTGGTTTCGAGGCCTTTGCCTGTAAGTTCGGATGTTAAGCAGGGATGATTTCTTGGGTTGTTCACCAAAAAGGAAACAGATCTCTGTTTTCTTCAAGTTTACACGCAGCTATTATTTTGATTTTTATGATTCATCCTGAATAAACATCAAGACTTAAGGGGGATTACTTGATTAACTTGTTAGACTGATGCTGGTAGTTTGGAGGAGAAAGACAACTGCTGTAATCAGTTCCTCTTTTTATATAATCAAGTTTTTCTCTTTCGCCACTTTCAGAGACTTTTCTTTCTTCACGATTCTTACTAGAAATACTGCAGTATAATTAGAAAGACATCTGTTCACATCCATAAATCCATCTCTGTCCCAAAACTACCACATGGACTCATGTAAGAGTTAGAGGGACACAACCACGGAGAATAAAACATACACTCTGTTTTAGCTTATTTTGTCTTTTTCATTTATGTCTGTGGTGCTCCTCAGTTAAAGGATGGTAATAGGTTTTAAGATGCTGTCGTGAACTCCACTCCAAATTGCCAATTAGAGGCTTGCACTTGCAGTGCTGTGACTTTGACTGTGTACTGTCATTTTACATAAATACATGAAAATCCTCAAATAACATTAATTTACTTCAAATTATTTCCTGATATTTACCATCCTTTAAGTAGTTCATACTTTTACCACATGTTTTGTTTAGGTTTTTCTTCTATGATTTAGCTTCACGTTTTCACACTACGAGACATTCCTGGTTAGTGCTGTTAAACAAAGTATATAGAAGCTGTACTGATAAAGTGTTGATAAAGCTCATAGATCAGATTCAGGAGGTACCCGAGTGTCAAGCTGAGCATGAGCTGAAATGTACAACATTTTAGTAGCCTTATTGAACTGTCCGTTATAGAACAGAAGTTTGCATTGGAGGCTGGCTGTGAGGCATGAAATGCTTCATCAGATCTTCACTTTGACCACATTTGAATAGTCTGTTGATCAGTTTGTGTATTGTTAGAGACAGCTGAACTATTGTATGTGTAATCGGTTTTGTCGGAATAGTTTCTTCATGTCGGCATGGCGTCATTTAATGTGGTGTCCACCTTTCAAACTATCTGCCATATGTGTAAAATATGTGTTTATATGATAAAACCAGCCTCTGCTGAGCTCCTTTAACTGATCAGAAATTATCATGTAAATTCTTTTCATGTAAACTTAAAAAAAAAAAAACATGAATGTACAGTTCAAAGTGAATGTTTAGTCGACATTATCCAACAACATGGTTTTGTGTTTCTAAATAAAAATTATTATTGAAAAAATGACATGATTTTTTTCACCTCTAAAGCCAGAATTTCTAAAACAGTTAATTCATGTGATTTTTTTTATTTTATTTCGCTTTTATACAACCAGGAAGTCCCCCGGGCTTGAAGTCACTTTACAGAGGAGAACTTAGCCGTGACAGCACACCAGGTTGAGCTGCGTTAAGTAAAGGTAAAAAACATCAGATTTCTGAGTGAGATATCAGGCTCTGAAGGCAACTCAATTCATAAAAGTCAGTTGAATTTGCATTTGTTACATGAACATTTGCAGAAATAATAAACTTTTTTCAGTCCTTAAAAAAATGGAAACAAGCGTCTTTTAAGCCGTTCAAAGCCTTAACTTTATTTATAAGAAGTATCTGATAACAGTGGTGGTGGTGGTGGTGAACACAAACAGACTAAAACTCTGTCAGCCATATTAGACTGTTATTAAGGAGTTTGTTTAATCCTTGATATATAGAGTTTTAGTTTGAACCAGACAGGAAGACTGTCGATGCTGAAGAAGTTAAGCATCAAGTGTCTTATCATCTCAGAATGGATGCTATTCGGTTTGATCCAAAATGTTTAAATCAACAATTTCCAATTCTTTCTTTAACTCCTCCATTGTCTAACTCTGTCTGGGATTTGGACTTGATAAGTTTATGTTTTACATCATGGGTGTATATTGCTTTAAAGTCTCTGTTTAGCCTGTAATAATCTGCATCATATGTCGTTGTAATAAGTATTTTCTTAAGCCCTACAGAAACCCTGATTTAGCAGATGATGACAGATCAGACAAGACTGGCCCAAGTATTAACTCTGTTAGCGTGTTCAGGCCTTCTCATTTCTCTGCCTTTGTCACCTCAGTTAGTGTCATCGCAATTGTTCACTCCACGGTCAGAACACAAACCAACAGGATCAGGCCCTGAGGTGCTCACGTGAGCTGCAGGAGCTGACGGGAACTGATGAGGGCATTACAGATTAAGGATCCATGTGTTGAAATTCAAGCGTAAGGACTGAAACTCGAACACCCCAGAGATCCCCCTCTATACAGGCTAAGCTAAGTCTCTGGTAGCTAATGAGCCACCTGGTCTTTGTTCAGTAAATCTTCACTGAAACAGGCCGTAAATCCACTCTGGACAGATGATACAAACTGCTTTATAAACGGTTGTAAGCTGTATTAATTAATCACTTGAATAGTCCGGCCTTTGTTGCTGTCACACAACTGTAAGAGGGTCCTGGTTTTGGGTTTAGCCTTTTTTCTTCAGCTTAGTTAAAGCCGCTGAAACCGCAGGTGTATTTAGGAGGATTAAAGGAATTTGAAACCACAGAGACAGGAGAGAAATAGACTGCATCTTTACACGGATATCATGAATTTCAAGTCTTCATAGTGTTGTTGAATGTTGATGTCTGTCTGTTGCAGAGCCACTACAAAAACAAAACAAAAAACACTGCGTCTGAAAGAAGGGTGAGGCGCGGCGGCCCAGCCTGGGTCAGTCCAGCACACGTGCATTGTTCTGCTTGAGTGGACGTCTTAAGAATTGTCTCTGCTGAATTTTTGTCAGGAGCTGTCACCGGCGCTGACAGGCGAGACTTGCCCTTGGCTTTGCTGCTGTTTAGACAGGTGTTTTTGCAAAGAAAACAACTGCAGCCCCGTTTCCAGCTCAGACGCTCACGACACTGACGTTCCTCTAAAGACGGAAGGAAAGAATATCACGGCGGATAATGCCTGGGAAGGGTGAGGCCTCTGACAGATTTGCAGAAGTCAAGGGTGATTTGCGCCTAAATGAATTTGTCTACCTGTTTCCTCGGCAGCTCCTTGTGAATCATTTTGTGTGTTTAGCTTTTCTGTGTTTGCTCTCTCTCTGTTTGGGTACACATACTGGCGAGGATGCAGGAGTAAACAGACAAACAGTAAAATGTATTTGTTCATATTTAGTTAACCACAGTGTTCACATCAAATTTGCTCACTGCTTTGTAGTCTGAAAATAAGTTTTGGTCGACATGAAACCAAAACACTTCTCCCCTCTGGTGGCTTTTTCTCTAAACTTTCAGCCTGGTGAATTCAGCGGGCACCAGTCCTGCTTTTTTCTTACCCCTCTTCTTCCCAGCCTGTGTTTCTCATCGCTGGAACTCTGATGACAGTCTCAAGAAACCGCACACGACAAGCTGGTAAGAGGGCCATAGTTGTGGGTTGTGCTTTTTTATTTTGTGTGGGCAGAACGGGGCCAACACCCTCATGATTACCCACTCACCCTCTTCCGTTTTCCACCTGTGCAGAGTGCCAGACCCACAGCGTTGAGCGAGCAGGCAGGACTGAGTCAAGTCCTCTGATGAGCTCCAGTCCCCCTGGTCCCCACACTGGCTCCTTCTCTCTGTTACAGGACTGACAGGCAAAGCAATAGAGAGTCAGGACTGAGCCGGGCCAGAGCTGGCATCCAGTTATTCAGAGTCCAGAGTGGAGCCAGCAGTGCAAAGTTCCCAGGGTACTTCAGAGGAGTTCTCTTTTCTGATGTCTGTGGGTGTCCTTGAGTGTGCATGTGTGTGTGTGTGTACAAGTGTACAAGGATGTGTGTTGGTACAGATTGTGTAGACAGACGGTACTGTCCTGGTAGGTGCCATGAGTCTGCTCCAGCTGAAAGGCACATGATTTATTTTAGGGGCAAAGGATGTGGGCATTCAGAGGGGTCATATTTATAGTCCGCTGGTCTGGAGAGAAGACCTGCCAGTATAAGCACAGATTCTGAGAAAGAGGCATGGGGACAGAAAACTGAAAGTCCTTCTCTCTTTAGAGGCCATGGATGAATGCTATTTCCAGTGGGCTGTAGTAAATGGCACTAAAAAACGGAATTTGTCTAAGAGGCTTGATGCTGACAGAACGAAAGCAACAACAAAACGAGGACCACTCTACGCCTAATTCAGACAATATGTGGGAGCCACTGCTGCTCGTGTTGAGCATTGGAAATCAATACTAATCAAGTACACAGAGACGCACATAAACAGGTAAAGTCTGCATAACTAGTCAGGTTAAGGGCATGAAATTTGCTCCCTTAAACTAAGCAATCCGACTTTATTTTTAAGAGTAGGTTTTTTTTCATGCAAAAATTCTTTTATTGTCTAATATAACTTGTACTGGGCCAAAACAGGAAAAATCAGCAATTTTTGTGTGTAAAAATATTCTTTTAATGGAGTAGGTATTGATTTTACTTGTTGAATCACAGAGATGTCGTGTTAAGTGTAGAAATGCTCCACTGTGGGTACATCCCAGTGAAAGGCCTGAGCTCAGCTCTGCTTAAGCAGATGGTAAACACACTCAGGCTTTTCACACTTGATAAATGAGATCCTCCACCAACAGCCCTGCAGAGTTAAAGCCTGATAGAGAGTCTGCTAGAAGATGACACGGTGATATCATCATGTAAAAATGAAATTTACGATCCAACACCTGAGCCCTCACCTTCCTCACAGCACCTGTTCTCAGCCTGTGCCAGTTTTCCACCAAGACACAGCTACTGGGTGGGACCAGGGTTGGATGTCACTACTCAGTGAATCTGCGAGAAGATAAATTCACGATAAAGGAGAAGGTAAACACAGAGAGAATAAGAGCGAGGAGGCAGATTACACGGCAATTACTCAACTGTGCTCCTGTGTGTCTCTTTCGCTTTGTGATTCCTCCCTCATTGTTCCCCAAAATACTTTGGATACAAAACCTGATATGAGAGCCATTCAGCTTTTTAAGTGCTATTCATTACAGCTCAGTGGAAATAGCATTTATTCAAAGATGACACTTTGAGGCTTTTCAAAGGACTACTTAAGAGATGCGGCTGCGCTTTGAGACACTAAAAAAGTGTGAATAAAGATGTTGAAGTTCCACTGCGGCATTTCTTGAGGAAGGAAAGAATTGCTCAGGGATTAAGTAGGTGCAGAGAAAGTATTGTCCTCGCCAAAATGAACTGTGCATTATTGCTAATTACAGAGAGCATATCCCTTCTGGATTTGTGGAAGTATGCTAATTCCATGTTGATCTCCACCTCAGATTATGTCCCATTTAACATGCGACAGAGTGGAACTTTCACTCCCTATTTGACTGGAAAATTCATCCAGTGTGGAGCCTCAAATATGAGTCAAGCCTCAGTGACCTTTGTGCAAATACAATAACGTGTGAAGACGCCATGTTACGCAGCACAAGTCCATGTTTATTGACACCCCTGAGTGACTGCTTCAGGTGTTCGTTCCTCTGAAGGGGTGAAAAAATTCTGTTGAAAAGTGTTGAAAGTGTGTGGTCTCTCTATCCAGTCTCTTTCCAAAGAACAAAAGGCACAGGAGTACGAATTGTTCCACCAGGTGTCTTTAGAAATGGCTCCACGGTGTGTACAGAGACTACATATCACCACTGAACCTCCACAGTGTCAACCTTTCAGGAATCCAGAGAGACGGCTTTTATTTTTAGCTTCAAGAAGAAGCATTTCTCATGTTATCCAAACAGATTAGACCCAAGAGCTTCAACGATACATTAAGCTCAAGAAATAACAATAAATGAAATGCTACATTTGTCTCGAAGCAAACATGATCATCACCAAAAGTTAAATGTGGTGAGAGTTCTGCTCAATGCTTGATGGATGAAACATTTTTATAAACAAAAACAGTTATTTCTGGCAAAGTCTACTTTAGCCAGGAGATGAAGCAGACTATTTATGATCACAGTTTATTATTTAAAATATACCTGGAACTAATCATTGCCCAGTTTAAGTGAACCTCAGTCCTGTACTATGTAAGGATAAAACTGGAAACGCCTGGGGAGCCTCTATTCCCTTTTCCTTGCTCAATCTCCACACAGTAATTTTCATTTCTGGTAGCCTCCTGATACCTGCTGCCCAGTGGTTTGCAACTGAATTTAGTGAGAGACCAAGATCATACCAGGCAAGATCGCTTCCTGGAAACCCTGGCAAGAAAAAAATTGGTGGGGGGCAATGTGGGTGACTTAACCAGCATGCCATGGTGGTGGAAGATGAGATGGGTACAGTATA